TTATTGTTTACACAGTCAAGACTAGACACAGTTTAGAGTTACAGTCATTGCAGCACTGAGGACAGACACTGCCACCACCCACCCCGAGCGCCCTTGAGAGCAGCACTGCCCCTGCAGGGCTCCTACCAGCAATTCCTTTGGTATTGTGTACTTTGGACTTGCACCTGCATCCCCGTCCCCATCCACCTCAGGGGAAGTGGGGAGATCTCAGCCCAAAGACCGGTCTAGGGATTTGTTCATACTTCCACATTCCGCTGCTCCTACATGCAGGTACCTTCTGGAGATGGAAATTCTTGTCTCCAGGGATAGGGCCCAGGGCTGGCTTTCAAGCCCAATAGGTGATGAGGAGACCTGCAGTCCCCCTAGCAGAGTCTGCCTGAGAATCACGGAGCTGCCACTACAGTTACTCTTGCTTCAAATTGTGCTTCCCTCTCCCCGGGACTGGGATGGCAAAGATCCCCTGAAATCCAGGGTTAGTACTGACCAGGGCGGGACCCAAGCCTGCAGACGGGGCTGTGCTTGAGGAGCGCTATATCACCGTAGCAGCTACGGGGCCTAAGCAAGGCTCAGACCCCAGTGGGGGATGCCCCTCGAATCACCACCCCCAGGATTCAGTTCTCCCCCATATTGGGCCTTTTCTCACCCCCTGCTGGAACAAAGGGGATGGAGTCTCTGCCCAGGTCACGCTGGTGAGAGGCAGCTGGCGCAGGCCAGCCCAGGTGGGAGCATGCCCCTGCAAAGCCCTACCTGTGTTACTGCAGGCTGGATCCGACCCTGGATCTGGGGGCATAGCCGCTGGTTCTTGGAGCTGGGATGCCCTAGGATTATTTCCAAGGCAACTGAGAATGGGTCTATCCTTCGGGGGGAATTGTGGGCAGGCCTTGGAGGACTAGCAGCAGATACCCCCAGCTGTGCTAGCTGGCCCAACCTTAGAGCAAACTGGGCCAGAGGGTTTTGTAGGTGGCTGGGCCAAAACCCAGGTTATCTGCCACCCCTGAGGGAAGGAGACTGGCTGAAGGTCACTGTGAAGCTATGGCAGAGGTCAAGAGGCCCAGGCTACAGCCCAAAGGCAGCCGCGCTACCGGCAGTATACCTTGTGCCTCTAGAGCCGGCTCACCTGCGGCTTCGGTTTCTTCCCTCACCTGGGAGTAATGATCCTGTCTGCCACTGGTTGGTTGCCATGGAGACGGCTGCCAGAGGAACACTTGGCACAAGGCCACTAAATGCCCTGAAGCGCCTGTTTCGTGCCAATGTCCCCAGCAGCGAAAACAGCATTAAAAATATCCCCCCCCAGCAAAGGGAGTTCACACGGGGATCAGCCGGGGCTTGTTCTCACCAGCGAGCGGCTCGGCACTCTAGGGGCCGGGCACGAGGAGGTGAGCGCTCATCCGCAGCAGCTGCCCAGATGTTTGCCTGGTGGCAGGAGCGCCCTGGGTGGAAGCAAGGCTGCCTGGGCCTGCCAACAGGAACCAGATCCTGGTGGACGGTGTGCGACTCACCCACAGGCCAGGCTGCCTGATTAGCCGCTCAGATTTCTTCTTCAGAAAGAAGAGGGACCTGGTATCTTCTCCCAGCCTGCCCCCCCATCTGTTTAAAACAGGGACGGACCTTGATGCCAAGAGCAAACCCGTCCCCCCCTTGTGATTCCTCACCCCAAAGTCTCTGGGGAAAATACAGCAGAGATTCAAACGGACCAACCCACTGGACTGAGGCTGTGGGTGAGGTCAATAGCTTAAGAGCTACCAGGGCCCGACAGCTCCCAGAACGGCTTGCTGGGGAACGGAACGGAACAAGCCATTCGCCCCCAAGAACAGCCCCAGATCAGAGCCCCCCACGGCTGGTCGTGGCACAGGCGAGAGCAGTAGATTCCAGCTGGCATGGGAACAGCCCTGCAGGATTTGGGTCTAGAAGGCTGAGGAGTGAATGAGGCCAGAGGAACCGCAACCTGTCCGAGGTTATGCTGAAGAACCAGAGGGTTGACACATCAGCACTGAGCTGTAACCCTTGGCTGGAGCGTCCAGCCCAAGAACCAGGGCTTGGAGTCAAATAATTAAGGCAATGCCTAGCTGGGGTGTTGACGTACAGGCTTCCCCATCAGTCCAGGATCTGTCCCATTCCCTTTTGATGGTAGATGCCAGGTGCAGCCTACAGTCCATTGGTGCTGTCTAAGGGCTCCCTCCCCTCTAATCTGAAGAGACCAACTCACTCGTATCGTTTAAATAGCAAAATAAATTACGTCAGCCTGGCTGGAGCAACCAGTTTCTCGGGACACCAAGAGACCGTGGGACACAGACACATGACTCCACACCAACGTCAGCGCCGGCTCCTCCGGGACCGGTGTGACAGACAGGACTGGACCACAGCCACACAGACAAAGGCACAAGCTGTTTCACAACCGAGTTGTAGCCACAAGGAGAGAATGCGGGAGGATCTCTTCCAGGGACCCCCAGCCGGAGCTCTGGAGGAGCTAGAATATCAAGTCTTTCAGGCAAGGAGAGGTCAGAGGTCGGGAGGGGCCCGCGAGCCAGCCGGCCTCCACTTGAGCAGCTGAGCGCACAACGGAAAGTGGCGTTACCGGTAGTTCGAGAAACGCCAGATGCTTAAGTACATTTAAAGCGCAAGGAGGTCAGTTCTGGTGCTTGCTTGGTCCAGAAAATTAACAGGAAGAGAGCAGGGGCGGGAGGGCAGACCTCAGAAGGTCAGAGGCAAGGAGTGATTCAAGAGGCCTCTGACCCAGCACAGGCTGCAGCCAGCGTCAGGAGAATGGGATTGACATAGAAAAGGAGTAAGAGGTGGGGCTGGGAGCCCAGCCTAGATTCCGGCTCCCTCAACACAAGTCAGAAGGGTGGGTGTCAGGGGGTCACTCTAGAGAGTTGTTGGGTTGTCTCGAGCTCATCAGTCCCCTCACAGAGATTGCCTCGGCCCAGGAGGTTCAAGGTTTAAGAAAACCAGAAGTGGCCGTTTCTGCCCCGATTGACACATCTTTAAAAAGGAACCCTAAAAAAGGAAAAGTCTCCGACCAGGACCACGCTCCGGGCGCTGATTACATCACAGACTCCTTCTCGCAGGAGCCAGCGGCAGCCAGCGGGACGGGCCCGTCTCTCTTGATCAGTGGGGAGCCTTCCTCCTCGCCCGGAACCTTGCTGGGGCCCAAGTCCTCAGTCTTGATCTCCACCAGCTCCTCGGCTTCAGCCTTCCCCATTGTCCTCTCTGTGTACACCTGCAGGAGGCCGGCTCCAAAGGCGTCTCCTTCCACGTTGAGGACGGTGCAGGTGCGGTCCCTGAACAAACACAGGAGGATCGGTAGGTGAGCAGACAGGCAACAGCAGGGAGTCAGACACTGCTCCCCAGCTCTGAACCAGGGGGAGGGGCTTCAGCGCCACCGGGAGACGGCAGCCCAGCGCTGCCACAAAGCCCCTGCGCAGCAACCCAGAGCCCTTCACGCAGCTCTTGACCTCGGGTTGGGCTGGATGCTGACTTGGCACAACTGTGGCAGATGCCGCCAGAGGATTTCTAGAGCAGGAGGAATGCTGCACCCCGCAGGATACACCCTTGTGCCCCAGGGCACGTCCCATTCAGAGCCGGGGATTTGCTCCGAGCTGGTCCCACTCCATCAGGCTTTTTAGCTGCTAGGCCCAGAGTGTTCAGACATGGGGAAGTAGCACCGAGCCCACTAACCAGGCCAGCCAGTTCCCTAGCTCACCTTGGACAGGAGCCAGCAGCTGTCTCCTCGCACTGATCATGCCCACGATCGAGACCCTCTTCCCCGTCCTGACCTACCCACTCCCCTCCCGGGCCTGGTTACACGCAAGGGCAACCTCGCAGGCATCTGCCCCAAAGGCTGCTCTCGTGGGAGACTAACCCACGCACCCCCTTGCTTCAGCTGCCCACTGGCAAAGCGGCACTGCGCTGTGCCGCAGGGCTTGTCTACGTGGCACCGTCCCTTCCCCTTTGGAAGCAGGGGCGGCTGCGTGGCAGAAGCTGAGCTGCAGCCCCATCCAAGCAGAGACAGCCTATGGGGAGTGCAGCCGTGTGTCACTTTGCCCAGGGCTCTCCCCGTGCGAGAGAGACTGCTCTCCGCTGGTTTAACGTGCTCTGCTGAGGCTGCAGAAATGTAGGGGGCCTCCGGGAAGCGGATTCCCACGGACCCAGCCAGCCGGCCCATTCCAGCCAGCTGCACCCGCTGAGCCCATCAGGCGGATCTGTCTGTTCTACCCCGTACAGTCCGTGTCAGTGTCTTTGCCCCCCTGTCCTGCCCTTACACGAGCCAGTCCACAGCCAGGATGAGGGAGATGTCGTTGGTCGGCAGCCCAACGGCTTCCAGGATGATGGCGAGGGTGAGGACGCCACCGGCAGGGATCCCCGCTGCCCCCACGCTGGAGGCTGTAGCTGTAACACTGCAGGGCAGAGAGAGAGATCAGACACGTCACCAGCGCAGCAGGGGTGCTCGTACATAACACTTTTCACTGGTGGATCTCAAAGCACTTCACAATGCAACTCACTTATCCTCACAGACTGTGGGGCAGGGCTCTCATTCCCATTGTGCAGATGGGGAAACTGAGGCACACAGGGGCCAAGTGACTTGCCCAAGGTCTCACAGTCTGTGGTGGAGCTGAGACTTGAACCCAGGTATCCCAAGTCCTTGGGTAGTGCCCCAACCACGTGATCTTTGAGTTAAGGAGTATGTGGCCAACGGATGTGTGTCAGCACTGCTCAGAGAAGGGACCTCCCAGCAGCAGGATCAGCCAGTGACAGGCCCCACGCCAGCCAGCAAAGCCAAGGGCAGAGTGAGCTCTTCCCCTTCCACCCACTGCTGGGGAGGAGCATGGGCAGCGTCTCTCGACTAAGGAGGAAGAATCCGGCTCTAATGAGCCACGGGACAATCACGGGACACTTTGATCACTGACCCTCTGGTCACCTTGTGTGATCTTTGCCAGATGGATCGGCATGGCTGAGCGCCCCGCACTCAGAGGCAACGGCATATCCCAGTCTGACCCAGTGCCCACACTTGGAGGGGGGTTCGGAGCCGGGGCAGAGCAGCTGGGTGAAGTGAAAGCTCATACGACAACAGCTCATCTGTGCCTTAGCTCAGACAGCGACCGTATCCCAAACATCGCCCCAGCAGTGTCTGCACTGGGGAAACGCAGACACAACCCAGGCGTGAAGGCCGCCTTTTAAGAGCGACGGGGTGCCGGGGGGAGAGGCGGCGGAGCTGGGCCCCTCAAACCCCTGGATTTCCAAGACCTGGGAGCTCTGCAGAGGCAGGACATTCAGCCTCTTGGCTGCTAACCCTTGTAACTCGCACTGGTTAGCGCCAGGGCTCGGCTACTCATTCACTGCGCTCAGTTATAACACAGAAGCAACTTCCTCCTGTGAGTCAGCGTCACACGAATCTCCCCTGGTCTTGGCAGCACGCTCATGACTGCATTTTTCCTACATGAGGCAGGAAGGGAGATTCCGTTTCCTGCAGAAAGCCGCAAGAGGAAGGGGAACAGCCGGGTGGGGCCAGACAACGGGGCCTAGCAGTTAGATCAAGAACCTGGGAGTCAAGGACTCTTGCCTCTGGACAGAAGCATGGTCTCGTATGGAGACAGGACTCCTGGGTTCTAGTCCAAGCCCCGCCACCGCTTGGCAAGTCCCATCACCTCCCTGTGCCTCAGGACCCCACTCGCCCCTGCGTAAGCCAGGGCTAGTAACCAGCCCAGCTCTCGGAGTGGGGTGGGGCAGATTCTGTGGCTCAGTGTTTTAGCGCTAGAGCAGGGTGCGGGCTGCTCCACTCACAGGATGGTGATGACCTGGATGAAGTTGAGCGGGATGTTGTTCAGCTGGGCGATGAAGACGGCCGCCACGCACTGGAAGAGGGCGGCCCCGTCCATGTTGACCGTGGCCCCGATGGGCAGGATGAAGCGGCTGATGTGCTTGGAGACGCCGTTGTTCTCCTCGACGCACTTCATCATCAGCGGCAGCGTGGCAGAGCTGTGGAGAGATCAGAGCGCGTACGCTGAGTACTCATGCACCCGCCCAGCTAGGCCTTGAGCCGGGTGTGTACGTAAGGGTGGGCAACCAATGCAGAACTTCCTAATAGATCCATAGGCACCCTTCCCTGTGGGAGAAGGGCACCCATAGGCTACGCTACAAATGGGAAACAGCCCCCACCAAGTTTGTTACCTCCTTGGTCTATATGTTCTGCTGTGCAGCAGCCAAAGCCAGGTGCTTCACAGGAGAATGAATACACCTCACTTAAATTTATGGAGATATCCTATCTCCTAGAACTGGAAGGGACCTTGAAAGGTCATCGAGTCCAGCCCCCCGCCTTCACTAGCAGGACCAAGTACTGATTTTGCCCCAGATCCCTAAGTGGCCCCCTAAAGGATTGAACTCACAACCCTGGGTTTAGCAGGCCAATGCTCAAACCACTGAGCTATCCCTCCCCCCTTAACAGAACTTAACAGAAGCAAGTTTCTTCCTGACCCCAGTGAAGAGTTTATGCCCTGAAGCCCAAGGATGGAGAGCCCTATTTACTGCATCCTCCCTAGGATATGATTCTACTGCTCAGAAAAACCTGAGTACTTTTCTTGACTCTTAAAGATACTAGACTTGTTAGTATCATGCAGCAGTGAGTTCCACGGGTTAACACAACACTACCGCTGCCAGTTAGAGTTGCTGAGTGACCACAAACCCAGCAGGAGTAGCAGCAGCCCAAGACCGCTGAAGAGGAGGTAACATTTTCCTCGACTTTCAGCATAATCAAGCACTGTCTCTGGTTCTTGTATCACATAAAAGAGATTGTTGGGTTCAGTACGTGAGCAGCAGGGTGGAGTTGGGGTGGTGAGGTCAGACTGGATAAGATGGTGGGCCCTTCTGGCCTTGGACTCTATGAAGGGACCTTCTAACAACCCCAGTATCTATCACCCTCTCTCCTTTCCAGGCTGAGCAGCCAGGGCCTCCCTGATCTGCTGGAAGCCTTCCTACGAGAGGTTTACCCAAGCCCCATAGCTCCTGTT